TTCACTACTCGGTCGTAATTGATCTAACGAAACAAGCTTGTTAACCATTACACCACATCGAAGTGCCCCCATCTGTGTTGAGAATGATTACCATAAGCAATAAAACTTATTTTATCATAACTTATTTAACACACTGGGGAGCAGAAGGAAAAGAAAACAGTCAATGATCCGTACGACTTATAATGTAAAGAGAGAGTAGGTAGTATTCAAAGACAATAGTCTTGTTTCAAATTCTATAGTATAATACTACTTCTATATACCGTGTCTCTTCAGGACGTTAGCGATCATGGCTCTCCACAATTTCCTGTCTTTTATAGCTCTTAATAAATTTTGTCTTTTTCTTATTTCTCCTAAACCCTGTTCCACCATCCATTTACTCAAGCTCGCTAGGTGGGTTATGCGTTGTTTTCCTGTTTCTCTTGTCTTCAATCTGCCCTGTGAGTATCAAATTTTCGAAGACTTCTTACCTCATTATGTGCCCTAGAAATTTCAATTACATCTGCCTGATGTTAAGTGTAGGTGTCATTTTTGTTTTTCTCTAAAATTTTGTCGTTGCACAAATGATTGATTGGTCCATGGTATTCTCAGTATCCTTCTGTAGAACCACATTTCTGTTGCTTGTTTTTCATCTGTGATGAGATTCTCCAGCATTCATTGTCATATAGGAGCACTGATATTACATAATAGTTCAGTACTCTTTTCTTCGTTTCTAACAAAATGTTTCTCCATCTTGGGTATGACGATAAACTACATCCGCGTCCTGGGTAAGACGATAAACTACATCCAACAGCAAGGCCTCTGATCAGGAGGTTTTGAGGAGCGTGGAACAACCTCTTAATTGCTAATGTTCCCAGGTCCACCCTGACCCGGGGTCGTAGCAGCTGTTAGGGTCCCAGCTATGGGCAAATAGTTAACACCTAAACTTGTGTAAAAATAGGTTTTAATACCAGAAATACATTGTAATAAAAAATTATTACTAGCCATAATTTTTTAAGGAAAATTATTATCAGTACTACTTAACAAAATATCAGTAATACAAACAGATATACATTCTTAAGAAGTTGGATTGTACTAAAAAATATGAGTAATTGAAAAATGGTTCCAATAAATATGTATACATACCGACTTTTTTCCAAATTATCGCCTATGAATCTATTTAAAAAAATTTGTTGGTATTAAATGACCCACCGAGATTGATATGCCATAAAACAAAAGAACCAAAAATCAAAATGTTTCTGTTTCAGTGACGTTATCTCATTTAAAAACCGGCTCGCATATCACGTGGAAGCATCACTCGCTTTTTACAAAGATACCGAAATGTTCTTCGTGAAAATGTCTCGTTTCTCCCGTAAGAACAAGAAATTCATGGCACATAAGAATACTTTCATTGGGCGTCCTGAGAAAGTGAACTTCCTTCAGCGACAACATCATTTCCGTTGCAATTATTATAATCACACCTACTTATGACTGGCGATAAGCGCTCTGTTTAATCTCGAAAAATGTTTCTTAAATTAAATATTTCATAAATTTACCTTCTCACGTCCCACTGTATTTAAATATTTGAATCCTGGTTTTTTAATGTCCTCTCTCTCTCTCTCTCTCTCTCTCTCTCTCTCTCTCTCTCTCTCTCTCTCTCTCTCTCACCTCAACGTTTTTTCAGTTTCTTTCGCACTCAGTAACCTCTTGCGTCGTACTAACTTTATCGCGTTGCTTTAAATTCTTGATTTAATAATTGAATAGGTTCCTTACTCTTTCCACGACTATAAAAATAACTGTTAAAATTCCACGAATGTATTGTTAAATATTTGAGCTTAACAACTTTAACAAAAAATAATAATCATAATTATTAACATACGACATTATTTAAAGCAACAGTACAAATGAAAAGATTAAAATGGTTGTACTGTATACTTACATATATTTGTAAAATAATTTTAAATTCCAAATAACAAACGCTTTATCAGTTATAATGAAGTGTATGAGTGTTGAAACAGATTAGTTTGATTTGGCCTTGTTAGTTAGATAGCCCACCATAAGAGGGGTATAAAACAAAAAATCAAATTGTAAAGTGAAACAACAAATTTATATACATATAAATCAATAAAGATCTCTACAAATAAAATGAATGTATTCTGGTTGATACAAGGTCGTCAAAATGTTCGTAGTAGTCTTTGCAAGAATGAGTTTATGTGTACGTAGGAAGAAACGTATGTATGTATGTATGTATGTATGTATGTACGAGCGTTATCGTAGGGTAGGAATGTCTTTGAAGTAATCGCTCAGTCTTAAAATGTTCTGTTAGTTTATCAAGTATAAAAGAGGTGAGGGAGAAAGGTAGAGATAATAATAATGATCGCTTGACATTTGTCAAAGGACGTGTTAATACGTTCGTCTCCTTCTCTCTGATGACAGGCGAACCTGCCCGTCTTTTATTTTGTTTGTGGGGCTTGAAAAGGTCATTTGGGAATTCACTCCCCGATATGATTCGAGCCTTTCCATTGGACGCCGAACAAATTCGCGTCGGCTCGCGAAAAGGTCCGTAAAAGAATTTGTTTCTGAAATTGAAGATTATTTGAATTTTGTTTTTAAATGTTTCCTAGTGTTTTATTGGCCAAAAAACATTTCGCACCAAGGTGTGAAATTTCACGAGTTTTGTTTTGGAATCGTTTTTGCGTGTGTGTTAAGCAAAGTTTGTAAATTCGAGTCTTTTTAATTTCTAACAAAATCAATGAGTCAGTGCTTAGCATTTGAATTTTAAATCTAGATCTTGTTTTGTTCGCTACAATACCAAACTTTTGACGTTCACGATAAATCGTAAATATGTGTATACGCATAAATTAAAACTAAATATCTACACATTTATGCAACCAAGATAATTAAGTTAATACTTTATTACATACAATATTCTCCTTTGTTGATATCGAGTGCTTTAACTCTGACATCAGATAATCTGCAATTTTTTTCTATTTTCGTTCATTCTTTTTATTATGTATGCTTTCTTTTTCTCAATAAAACCAAACAGTGACTTTGACATCTTTTTCTTCTATCTTTCATTGCAATGAACTAAAAATGGTCCATTATTGATCTGTCATAAAAGAAGGGCTATAATGTATTTTTATTTAATTCATTATAGATTTTATATTCTTATTAATGTAGTATTACACAATTTTTTGTTTGAAAATACATTTCCAACAATCATAAAGTTTTTTTCTTCTTCTCGTGAAAGCGGAATGACCCATTATTTATCTGAGGTAATTGCAGGAAGTAATAGATGTGCGAAGGAAGGAATACGCATCATTATTATGTTATGGTTAAAATCATCTAATATCGATGTATATTTAAATCCAATGTTTAGGCTGTGATTTACTTTCATTCGACCACGTGTAAAACTGACGCGTTCTTTTGAATACAATATTATGACATTTTGTGAACAAGTCACTCTTTTCAATACGCATGAATGTTGTATGTGGAAGAAACTGGTCAAGTGCTCAGCTGCGCAGCGACCCTTCGAACACACTCGGTCATAAGACTAATGATGATGATACTTTTAAAAAGTTTTCTTAATTTTTAAGTAGTATTTTTAAAACCATTCTGCAACTCTTTGGAGCATCACTTAGAAACTTATCTAAATCGTTACTATGGTTTTGGTACAATTTGGGTATCATTTGGTGTACAAGATCATGACTAGTTATTTATTCGAATAGATTGGTACCTCAGGGTACACTGCCCATTTATAGTCTTCAACTAAATGCCGAAACTAAAATCTGGGTCACCAACCTTAAAGAAAAATAATAATAATAGTAAAGATTACGTTCCGTCTCAAGCGAAATGAACGCCTAAAATGATTTCTATTCCTTCAAGAGTGATCTTTTGTTTGTCATATTGTTGACATTATTATTTATTCAAACACGTGAGAAAAATAAAAGTCAATTTAGGACGTTAAGTGGACTGTGACAACTATCGTCTTGCTCGGGTGATGAAGTGTAACAAGCAAGATTACAATTTCATAGTCTTCACTTAACCATATCCACAATGTATTTATGAGGTATTGCACTGCCAGGTATCTATAAAAAGAAAAAGAAAAAAAGATAGCTATATATTTTAAGGCGCCATCTTGTTTCACCTGACAGAACATTTATTTGATGGTCTTGTAAAACAGATCAGTTCTCTTCTGAAATAGATAAAATCAACAAGGAGTCAAGAAAAGAGAATTAAAAGTAAAAGACAACGTTGTTTACATCTTATAAATTAGTTTAGTCATGAAAACATAACATTCCGCATTGCAATCATTCTGTGCTCTACACTCTGTCTAGCCACTTTGCAATCAGTCTGTACTTCATCTATTGACAAAGATTTTATAAAATGCTCAGGTCATTTTTATAATTCCAGGAAATATCTGACGCCTACTGCTATGCTTTATCTCTACATGAATCAGATTAGAATAAAACAATAAAAAAAAACAGAGTATTGCTGGTATATCTGACATGGACTATATTTAGTCGTCCCCCCACGAGGGCGTCATGTGGCACAAGGCCGGTTTAACGTGGGCACTCCGAGCCTGTGGGCTCGGCCAAAAATATACCCATTGAACCCGTATAAACGGGTTCAGGGCCGGTCTACCTCCCCGAAGGAGACTCCGCCCTTCGGCGTAGCTTCCTTCGAGTTCCTCCCCGCCCGAAAGCAGAGAGTTGAACCGAACCGTTCGCTCAGAAAGTGAGCGACGGACATGGAGCAGGTCAAATCTCACTTTCCAGCTTGATAGTGTTCAAAATCGCTTGAGAATATTTTTATATTGTAAGAAGTTGTTTTTTTTTTTTAGATAATGATTTTACTGATATAGGTCTTATTAACCCATAGCTGGAGAGAGAAGAGGTGGATTCATACCTTTTCTCAAGAGTATTTGCGCGTAAGTGAATATAAGGAAACCAACGGGAGTTAGAGATCGGCTCTCCGATTGACAATTCCGAACCGTTATCCATTACACCACACGTACACACAAGATTGCAACACCTGGTATTCCCAAGCGGTCACCCATCTAGGTACTGACTAGGTTCGATGTTGCTTAACTTTGGTGATCATACGGGAATCACTGTTCAAACGTAATATGACCGTAAGTCTTGTTCCAAATGTGATCCTTACACATAGTCCCATAGAAAGAAAATCACATGGTGTCAAGTCATGTGAATGTGGTGGCTATTTCAATAGTACATTATCATTATCGCCCGCCCGATCCCTCTTTCTGTTAGATTATCATTGATATAAGTCCGCACTGAGGCGTTAAAAAATGTTACGCAATACATATCGTTGTAACATGTCAGATTGCAACAGACGTCTCTTTGTCTCAGCCCGTAATGAGTGCAAGCGTGTCCCCAATGAAACAAAGTCCCTATTTGCTGACAGAATGAAACAACGGATTGCATCTCACAAATTTGACTCCAAAGATTATTGGCGTCTCTGCAAGAGCGTACTATACAACAGCAAAGTCACAATACCTCCTTTATTCAACTAATTTGAGGTCCTGACTTCCTCACCCGATACGGCTCGTAAATTCTCATCCAATTCAACGCTCGACTCGTCCTGTGCACCCACACCCGATTTACTCCCTAGAACTGAGGCTCTGTTGAGCGAGTTGCTCATAACCCCATCGTTGGTATTGGGCATCATCTCTAAATTAGACTCCCGTAGAGAGTGGGAACGGGATACAATCCATTGTCCTGGAGAAATGTGCTCCTGAACTAGCTCCTGTCCTTTCCAAACTATACAACTACTGCTTCAACAACTCCTGATTTCCTTCCTGTTGGAAATCTTCAAGCAATATGGTATTGACAAGCAATATGGTTTTCGCTTTGCCCGACATACAGCTGATGTGCTCATGGCCATAATTGAATTTGTTTACCAAGCACTTCACAATAACGGAGAAGCTCGTGCTGTGGCTCTAGATATCTCTAAATCGTTTGATAGGGTTTAGCATGCCGACCTCCTTCGCAAGCTTCAGAGATCTGTTTCTACAGAAGAGTAATGAAAATGCCATGGACGGAACATGTGAGCACTGAGGATGTTTTAAGGACATTCGGAACGAGAAGGATACTTGTGTTTAGGATCAGAAAAGCGAAAGTTGAAAGTTCTGGGTCACATAACGAGGAAAAATGGCTTGGAGAATTTGACACTGACAGGACATACTGAAGATATTAGGAGCAGAAGAAAATGTGAGTAACATACTTAACATATGTTGATGGTAGAACATGGACTAGAAGGGATAGTAAGAAGCCAAATAATACTTAAAACTTCAAAGAATACGAAATTGTGAAGGACCGTGTTCGTCAACATCCTGAAGAAACACGTCAAATAGAAAAATTTAACATTAATATATATTTAATATTCTTGCGTTATTTCCAACTATTGTTCTCATCTTGGTTGATATAGATGTTATTATAGACACAATGTTTAGACCAAGTACCCTCTGGTCATCATCAAGTGTCCATTGACTGTTATGGGATATCGATTAGTGATATTTCGTTCCTGTGATGTCAGTTATTGTTTGTTCCTAGTTGAATTGGTTCTTTACTACCTGATCCAAGGATCGAACTCTTGACCACTAGATGACCGTAACAGATGTATAACCAACTCCTATATTCACTACGCCACTTGTTAATTCCTATATTCACTAACGCCACTTGTTAATTCACTTAATCTCTCAGGATTTTAAAAAAATGAAAGAATTTTAACTTTCATTTTAGTACTGCTTTGAAAGATACATAAGAAAGAAACTGCCACAGTAATATAACCGTATTGCTTGGTTTTATTTAGTTTCTAAGACTAAAGAGTTCCACTAGTAGTTCCACCTGTGATACTTTCAGCCTTGTGCCACATCCGAGCAGCGCTTGGAAAATCTCTAGTTCCACCTAAGATTCATCCTTTCTTTCCATATTAATAATGGTTTCCAGCAGGAGGATGGTCAAAAGCGTTGATACGGCTCATTCCTGCAGATCAACCTAGCTTTATATCGAGTGAAAAGAAGTTCCAGCAGAGCTGCTATAAGACGAGGGTTATCTTCTTTACTAGTATTCGTATCATTGACAAAATGATACTACTGCTGATCCCTGAGAGTGGCAAGTGTGTCGTTGTGGAGGAGACTCAAGTTTGAGATTTACTTTTCAGGACAGTCGTAGGTAGACCGGACATTCCATAAGAGTTCCCTTGATACCAAGTCAAAATCTTTGACAAGGTCATGTACAACGTTAAGTTATTCACAACATTTTTTCAATGCAAAGATCAGATGATCAGACATTGACTCAATTCAAGCAATATTTATGACAGAGGAGTTTAACCTGCCAATGTTCATAAAGACATATCTAACCTAATAATGAACAATCGTTTATATTTTCAACAGACTTCTTCTTTGGCAATGCCCTTAATTCGGTGCTGACTATAAATTAGTGTTCGAACATTGGGCAATAAAATTTTCCAATCGAAATTCTGCGAAAACCTCCCGTATCCGGTTACGGACCACTTATTTCGACGTCATTTTAAAGTGAACGAAATCAGATTAACTCTAAAACATGTACAGAATCATTACTTTTTAGTCGAAGTTTATTTGATTATTATCACCTGACTGATTACTAACCTACCTTTTTTTCTCTGTGCGGTGATGGACACTTGTTAAAATCTTCTGAGCATGGCGAAACGCAAAACAAAGGCACCTTTGAAAAGAAAATGACAGGTAAGCATTTTAAATTCCCACCAAGAAGACATTTTGTTAGGTTCGAAGAAATGTAGACAAAGCATTTGAGACTAATTTATTGTTGCTTGATATTACTGTTGTTAAATTCTTTTTCCATACATACTCTATGCAAAAAATAAAAACTCTTTTTCTCATATATTCCCTTTCTCACTCTCACACCTGCACAAAATCTCTCTTTCACACACACTCACCTGACATATTTCTTTATTTTCTTCATAACTTTTTCATTTTGTTTTCCGATGTCAAATCACCGTATATGCATTTTATTTTAACATATTTCCAAAATAGGAATCTCATTGACTTGTTCACACATATTTTTTTTTATTTTATTACCTCTTAATTATTTCTTAAAAATTATCCTCAGCATTTCTAAATAGCAAAGTTGGCAGGATAACGACTTTTTCTTTAGATGTTTTTCATTTTTTGAGGATGCTTGTACAGAGAGAAACGTTTACAACAAAATAATAAAAAAATTCATCTGTTTTTCACAAATTCTCTCATTTTGTTTGAATATTTCATATCAATCATTTTATCAAATTTCTTTGCCAGTTCTACTCTGGCAAACGCATATATATATATATATATATATATATATAAACAAACACCATTTTCTCTTTCAGATTCTCTCACACGTACACACATTGCCCTCTCTCTATCTCTTTTTCTTACTCACACACCCACACATTTACACTTTGACTGATTCTCTTTGCCGCTTAAATCAGCTTAACGAACAATTTGTCTCGGTCAATGAAATTGGATTAAAAAAAAGACATTTTTTTTTATTATTAATCTATATTTGCTTTTTTGTTTTTATTTTTTTTATTCAGTTAATTTTAATTTATCGACATTTTTTTTTAAAAAAAATCTTTTACTTAGTGGCCTTGACCGTTTCATTTCTTCACAAGTTTCAATATTTACTGAATTTAATTTGCTGAGATAGAATTTGTTTATTAAGCAACTTCTTGTAGATCTTGGAAGTTTGCGTGAATGTTTTAAATGTTTTGCTGAAAATGAAACGTGCAACATCCACAAACATAAATTATTAAAAAGGGTCAAATGACTCAAATGGTAACGATATTTAATTACGATTGTTTGGAACAACAAATTAATTTTTATATACACAATTTTACAATTTTTGTTTTGTAATGATGTGTGCGAGCGTATATTTACGAAAAAAAGTTCTTTACTGTGTCAGAAATGTTCAATGCCAAAAGTAAGTAAAAATTGTCTGCCTCTTACTATAAAGGTTAAATTTAAATTAGACAAGTTTTTTTTAAGAAGGATATTGAATGGAAAAGGTTTGTCGTTGAAATTTTCCTAATCTTTCATAAAGGAAGTTTGTTCCAAAATGCAGTATAAAAATTAAATTTTTTCTTGGTACCTGGGTTTGTATCTCCTTTGCGTGTGTAAATATCTCTGCGTGCGAGTAAATCTCTCTGCGTATCCCTTGCGTGTGAAAATCTCAATTTACTTATTGTATAAAATACAATTATGGCACAAGGCTGAAAAGAGAGAAAGGAGTTGAGGCTGGTCCACACTGACTATCCTATACCTAGCTAATCCGTTTCATGACCCATTCACTCGTTAACAATTTGCGCTTTCACCACAAGAACCCATTCGTCACCAATCAATCCTCCATCTACCATAATACCGCATCCTCTCAAGGGGACCTATAAAACGCACCCCCGAGATTTAAAAATTTGATAATAATAAGTATAGATAAAAATTTAATATATGACAATGAGAGGGGAGGGGATGAACCCCAAAACAAACTAAATATTAACACAAAGAAAACTAAAACATAACTGATGTTAGTAGGACCCGTCCAACCCTAAAAAAAGAGAGACCGCTGTCTTCTGCCCAATGGGCAAAATCAACAGGCTCTCTCACTAAGGGAGAGGGGAAGGAAAATATACACGGACATGGGAAATATATAAAGTTGACCCAGTCAAGATGAAAGGAGGTGTGCAAAACAAACTGGGGAGGTTGGGAATCTCAACTTGGATCATAACTAAAGATGTAGGCGAGAGTAGGCCAGGAACAACACTTACATTAACTAGGTACACAAGATTGTCTAACCTAACCAAGGGGAGGGCTCCACAGGAAACCACCCCGATGTGACGTAGGTTGACCTAAAAGAAAAAAATCAAGGCTACCCCCGTACACACGAACCAAGCTCGCCTCAGTCACCCACTTTTCGCTAAAGGCTGTCGAATGCAAGCGTTTTCTATCAGTTTTAATCTTCATCTTGAGCCGATGCTTAAAGAATCGGATCAGATCCTGATGAGAAAGACGGTTGCTGTCGCATAGGGGGCGGACCCGAGGACGATGGTAGAAGGCGTGCGAAGCCGTTTCCTCTAAGCCAAGGTCAC